CACTAAATGTGCCTGTCTGCAGGAGTTACCCTAGGTATATATACCTGTCTACTACCTCTAGCGCTTCGCCTTGTACATGTATTTGTTTGAGTGGGACTCTGCTGTTGAACATAACCTTAGTCTTTTTCTTGTTCATCTTAAGTCCGACTTTTAGGCTTTCTCTATTCAGATCGTTTATTAATTGCTGCAGTTCATCAGCTGATTCACTAAGGAGAACAATGTCGTCTGCAAATCTTAGGTTGTTAAGGTGTTCGTCTTCTATTTTGATACCCTTCCCTTCCCATTCTAGTTTCTTGAATATATCCTCGAGGCAGGCTGTAAACAGCTTTGCTGAGATGCTGTCGCCCTGTCTCACGCCTTTTTTAATTGGTATTTTATCGGTTTCTGTGTGGAGTTTGATGGTCTTCCAATATATTACAATATACCTCCTCACCTCCCTGTTGTTGAATAGCACCTAGTACTGCTGGTATTTGTGCAGAGTCAAATGCCTTTTCATAATCGATGAATGCCATACACAGGGGTTTCCTATATTCGTTTACTTTTTCTCTTATTTGGGTGAGCGTGTGGATGTGATCTGTTGTTGAGAATCCGCTGCGGAAGCCTGTCTGTTCTCTAGGCTGGCTGGAATCCAGACTGTCAGAGATGCGAGCTGTAATGACTTTCGTGAACAGTTTGTAAGTAACCGAAAGGAGGCTTATGGGTCGGTAATTTTTTAAATCCTTTTTATCGCCTTTTTTGTGTAACAAGATAATTGTTGCATTTTCCCAGGCTTTCGGAGTTTTTCCGCTGAGGAGACATTTGTTAAAAAGATTAGCTAGTTTCAATGTTGCGATGTCTCCTGCATCTAATATGAGGTCTATACTAATTCCGTCTTCGCCTGGTGTTTTCCCTCTCTTCATGCCTTTAAGTGCTCTTTTTATTTCTTCTTTTGTGATATTAGGTACGTCTCTAGTTACAGCGTTTGCTTCTATTTGTGGCTGTTCGTTTGAGTTGTATAGATCCCTGTAAAAGTCTTCCACTACTTTGATGATTTCATTCTTGTTATATATTACTTCTCCGTCTGGTTTCTTAATTGCATACATTTGATTTCTCCCTATTCCTAGTCTTCTTTTAGCTGCTTTCATGCTGGTACCTGAAATCACTGCTTCATTTATTATTTGAGTATTGAATTTCCGTACACACACACACACACACACACACACACACACACACACACACACACCACACACACACACACACACACAAACACATATATATATATATTATATATATATATATATATATATGTATATATATATATAATATAATATATATATAATATATATATATTTATGTATACACACACACAAACACCACACACACCACACACACACACACACACACACACACATAAATATACACTTATATATGCATATATGGTATATATGTATATATGCATACACACATACACGCAAACACACGCAAAAACACACACCACACATATACACATCCACATGTGTGTGTGTGCTGTGTATGTGTGTGTTGCGTACACACATAACACGGCTATATATACTATATAGCATATATATCACACATTATATATATATACACATATATACAGTATATATATATGTGTTGTTGTGGTAATGCATATATATTATATACATAACACTATGTATATATGTATACGTATATATGTGGTGTTGTGTGTATGTGTGTGTATGTGTGGTCTAGTGTGCGTGTGTGGACTGTTTGTGTGCTTATGGAATGTGTGTAGTTTGTGTGCTTATATGCGTCAGTGTGAATGTATGTAACATACATACATACCACACACCACACACACTAAATATTATAAATATAATATATAATTATATATATATATGGTGTGTTGTGTGTGTGTGTGTGTTGGGTGTGTGGTGTGTGGTGTGGTGTCGTGTGCGTGTGGTGTGCCGTGTGCGTTACTGCTGTGCGTGTGACCGTTGCAATACATTGTGCGTGGTGTTGTGTGTTGCAGTGTGTGCATGTGCCTGTGGCTGCTGCATGTGTGGTCTGTGCATGTGCATGTTTGTGTGTGTGTGTATGTGTGTGTGTATGTATCCACTATATATATTATTATATATAAATATATATCTTATATAGTATATATATATATATATATATTATATATATCTATATATATATATGCGTGTGTGTCTGTGTTTCGTACCTTCTGTCCTCTCTCTCTTTCCTTATCTGTGTGTTGTGTGTTTTGCTGTGCGCGACGAGAAAGAGCCTTTTTCATCGAAACCTTAAAATTAAACTCTTCACTCTGCGCTGACTTAGAAGAAAAGTCTCTGGTCTGGCTACTCCGAGGCCTTCCGAAGCCACCGTCAGTTATCACGACATAAACCCTGAGTAGTTTTCCTTGGTTTCCCCGAAATCTAGGCCGAAACTTTTCCCCCGAAGAACGTTTTAATATTCGCTTGCAAACCAGTCTAACTTTCCTGAAAAGTTTTCGTTGGAATTCCCAATCAAGAAATATCATAATGCAATATTGATAATGGTTGTGATAATATTTGAAATAATGACGATTATGATGATTATTATATTGATCTTTATCGTAGTAATGATGCGAAAGCTACAATGTACTTTTTTCTTTATGTAGGAGTCCACTCCCCTAAAAAAATCACTTCGTTTATAAAGTTAAATAATTAAGAATTCCTTCCGGTAGAAAAAAAGAGTAAGAAAAGAGTGCTCTTTGTTCTACATGGACATTTGAAGCTACGAACATATAGACAGTGAAGGAAGTGAGTGAACGATCTGCATAATGGACGGATATTCAGGTGAAGCTTATCTACAACCGCAGACGATTCTTTTTTTTAGCAAACAGACCTTGTTAGTGTCAATTCTTTAACACCAACAAGTTCCATTAAACAGAATTGCGTTTGTCGTTCAACCTTCTTTAATAATCCTTCGCAACATCAAGGTTTTGCATTTACAGATTATGGAAATGGAAATATTCTCGAACTGAGTTGTCATTTACGCCTCCTCCCCAAGAAAAAAAAAAAAAAAAAAAGAAATTCCCTTTAAAATCTAGATATAGATCAGACGAAACCCTCATCTCTTCATGTGTAGCAAACCTTCCTGCGTGTGCCAGTGCTGTTGAGACTAAGATGATATTGAAAGAACGCAAAAAGTGCCGAATGCATACATTGTAAAGGATGCCCATATTTCGCGAGAAAATTACATAGTTTTTTCTCCTAACGATTCACATCAACAGCGAGAGACAAGCAAAAACAAAAAGGAAGAGCTTTTACTAATTGGACTGTCAACATCAAAACTTTTTCGAAGAGTTTTAAGTTATTACAGATGACTGCTTTTGTTTTTCTTTCTTTTTTTTGTTTAAGTAGGAAACTCTTTTAGTTTTTAGAAAAAAAAAACTTTCAAAACTCTTTTGAAGAAGTCTTAATGTAAAAGTGGACGAATGATGTACTTGAATATAATCCTCCCCACCCATCACTCCCCCCTCCTCCCTCTCTCTCTTTTTTTTTTCTCTCTCTCTCTCATTCATTCATTCATTTACGCATCCTCCCCTTTCCCTTCCCTCTCTCTCTCTCTCTCTCTCTCTCTCTCTCTCTCTCTCTCTCTCTCTCTCTCTCTCTCCTATATTATAATATATATTATATATATATATATATATATATATCATTCATTCATTTACGCATCCTCCCTCTCTTCCTCTCTCTCTCTCTTCCCCCCCCCCCCCCTCTCTCTCTCTTTCTCTCTCTCTCTCTCTCTCTTTCTCTCACACACACACTCATTTAATCACTCTCCGCTCTCTCTTCCTTCCTTCATTCTTTTCTTTCTCCTTCTTTCACCTCTTTCCTTCTCCCGAGTGCCAGTGATTGAACCAGTCGTGACCACATCGCTTGGTTAACCATAGAACCAAATCTCTGCGGAGCGTAATGTCATTTCCTAAGTTCACGACTTGGCTAATCGAGCATTTCCTTTAAATACCTCTTTATGTGAATATGTTGATATCCTCTGATACATAGAAAATTGCCACAACAAACCGGTCAAAGGCATCTTTTCCGCTCTAACGATATTCATTCTCATTCATACTTTTTTATAGCTTGTCACATCAAATCAATAAATACAGAATAGTGTCCCGTCACAAAGGTTTAATTATTAATTAGCTTTATTAAGATTCTACTGCATTGTGGCATACCTAACGGACATAAACTGACGAATTAGGATTATTGACGAATTACAGCACCAAATGGTAGTATACTCATGGTTGAAAAGCTATTCATCATTTAACAATTATTCATACACGCACGAATATGAAACTATTTTACCAAGTAACGATATCTGTTCACTATCCACGAATCCCTTTCGTATGATGGGTAAGATCTTCGTGAACAAATTTTTGAAGGTTGTGAACAGCCCAGCCCATTGAACATCTTGCCAAAGCTCTTTCTTTTGTATAATTCAATAATTCCCTTTTGATCGATGTTTTAAGGATATCCCCGTGCCACAAAGCGGATATGCAATGCTAGGAAGACACTGGAAGCTTTCATAAGTTTTTATTCAAGGTTACGTTAGAATGAATGTGCATATGTATATAAATATAAATATATATATATGTATATATTATATATATATATGAATATATATATATATATATATATATATATATATATATATATATAGAATATATTATATATAATATAGCCAGGTAGATAAACTTACGGCCGTGAAGAATCTCA